CCGGCTGGACCCCCGTCCTGGCTGAACCCTGACCCGGCTGGACCACACCCCGCTGGCCCTGCTCCTTCCTTCCCGGCAGAATGACGGGTGGAGCTGAGCCCCGGGGAACCTGGGCGAGGCTGCTGCTCAGTGGTCCCCAGGCTGGCACTCAGCTGGTCCGCGGCAGGTGTCTGGGGAGAGGGGGTCGCACAGGGTCGCCCAGGCCTCGTTCGGGCAGTGACGCTGCGTCCTCGCAGCCCGGAGGCGGCTGGATGTCCCCAAGTGAACAGCGCCGCGACGGGGCGCTTTGTCGTGTGGGCAAAGCAGGAGCGGGGATGAGACGGGACAGGCAGCTCCTTGAGTTAGTGGGACCTCACTCGATCCTCAGCTTCCACCGCCTGCCACCCACACTGGCTGGGAGACGGCGGGGAGACTCTCATGGCGTTTGGTTCTTGCATTTGGAAATGGAGTTCATTTCACCAGACCTCACCAAGAAGCCTGCACTGTGCAGGTGACCCAGCCCGGTTGGCCCCCTCAGAGGCTGGGTAGGATTGTGGCGTTAGACCCCGGACCTGAAAACCAGTCATTGCACAGAAGTGACATTTCGCAATAGTCCCTGGGGTATCTCTCCAGGTTTCTGTAACACAGGAAGGCCTGTCCGACGTGATTTGGCTATGGGAGGGTCCCGTGGCCCCAAGGCTGGGTCCCCCCTCCCTCAGGGGGATGCAGGGAAAGGTGGCTGTCCTCAACCCATCATTGTGCACCTGCAATTGTGATGGAAACAGCCTCTCCCTTGGGCCAGATCCCAGATAAATATTTTCTAGCCTAAGCATTTTCTAGCCTAATAATTTTTCTCTCCATTTAATATATATATTTTAAATCCCTAAGCGTATTTTCGAACTCCCACGCTATCCTATTTTGTTTACACACATTATCGGTAATCTGCAGTACACGGGACAATCATTTTCTTCCGTCCCTGTGTTCAGAAGGCCCGTCACCCCGTGGGTGGGCCGCACCCCACAATACTGAGAAAAGTCACCCCTGACTGCACAATCCCCAAGCCCTTTTAAATCCCGAATCATTTCTTATAGAATCAGTCACTTTCTCCTTTTTAAACTTTATTTTATTGAGTCATTCTTTGCGTCCATGAAATTGACCCAAGATGTTACCTTAAGATTTGAAAGCAAAAGAAAAATAGAGAAAGAGGAAAAAGACGAGCCAGAACATCCTGGTGTCCGCCAGCTACCCTTGACCTTACACTAACGGGGTGGGCGGGGCCCGGATTTCTCCTACGCGACCACCGAGAATCAGAACTGCGAATCTATTCAAACAGCCTCTAAAAAAATTAACCTGGTGAAATTAGGTGTCTTTTCAATTCAGGGTTTTTTGTTGTTGTTGTCGTTGTCCTATTAACACTTTCTTGAATTCCTTCGTATTATTGAGCAAATTCCTTTTTCTGAAACATTTTAAAACTCTTTTTTCTGATATGTGTAACAACTCTTTAAAAAACCCCAATGAGTCAAAATGATAAATGTGGGGACTGTCACTTTCCCGTGTACATTGCAATATCGTTTACAGATGTCATCAGGGGCTCTTAAGCTTTTTAACGACAGGTCTGCGTTAACCGTGCACTTGACACAGAGACAGAAACCTGTGTGGCCAGACGCCCTGATGCGCCGGATTGTCTTAAAGATGAACATATCGCCTCTCCGACATCCCGAGAGGTGACGGGGACAGACAGCGGGTCAGGGATGGCCTGGGGTCAGGTTGAGGGTGGGCAGACTGCAAAGGAGACAAAGAAACGCCTCCGAGAGATGCCATGATCCGCATCGCAAGCGTGGACCGTTTTCAAAATTCGTTAATAGATTTAGCACATGTTCCTCATACGCCCACGAAGCTGATTTAAAAGGAAGTATGCGTGTACGTATGGGTCATCACACCCGTACATATATATATAGTCTCAGTGGACACGAAACCTAAACTTAACACAAAGGGCTAGATCTTCAGTTTGACTTACGTTCTCTCTACAGTTGATTTGGAGCAGTCGTTTGTAGTTGAGACGATGGGACTGAGGAGCGGGGGGACAGCCCGCTGAGGGAGCAGGAGGGGTCAGGGCAGCTTCTCCCGCAAGGGTGGAAAGGCGGAAGTCGGAAGGAAGCTAGCATGTGAATTGCAGCCCGTTTGGACCGGCTGTCACGAGATCCACTGCGGGGCTAGGTGTGGACTGGGACTCCAGCACAGCTGTGGGTCTGGGCGACGATGGCTGGGTGGGTGATGCTAGCCAGAGAAAGCGTGTCTGTCTCAGTTTCCGGGGGCTGCTGAGACAAAGCACCACAGACGCGGTGGCAGATTCATCCTCAGACAGTGCGAGGGGCAAAGCTCTGAGGTCAGGGCCACTGGGCCGCAGCCCAGCTGCTGACAAGGCCGGCTCCTCCCAGAGGCCCCTGGGGAGGACCTGACCCCCTCCACTTCTGGAGGCGGTGGCACTCCCTGGCTCCTGGCCGCAGCACTCCGGCCGACATCCACATCATGCCACCTCTACTGCTGGCGAATGTCCCTCTGTCCCCTCTGGCTCCATTGAGGGCACACCCGGGTCAGCCAGGCTCTGTTCCACTGTAGGGTTCACGGAGTGCCCCAGGTAGCCTTCATGTCTCAAAGAGCAGAGGAACGGGAGAAGCACTCCCATGTGGCTCTTGGTGACCTGGGACCTGGGGCTGTCACGCTGAAGGTGACCAGCTCCCAGTGGCCTCAGGCGGGTCATGCATTCGTCCATCGGATACTCACCCCTGGGGCCCGAGGGCTGTTGACAGAGCCCCTGGTGGGGACATCAAAAGGGACTCTTTGTCCAGGTAGCAGGTGACAGATGGCATGGCTGCCCCCTCTGAGTTATTCTGCTCAAACAGCCCAGAATATCTGCTAAAGGGACAAAAAGGCGGCCTGGAATGTCCACTTAGGGACCGTTTGGCTGGTCGCTAAGGCAGGAAACGGAAGTCGTAAGAAGATTCGTACCCCTCACCTCACCCCAGACGCCATGCAGCTGTTTTCATTTGTCGTTGAAATGAAAAGGGGTCGGGACACACATCAGACTCTCAGAAAGAATTCGCTGCACGGACGAATGAGTGAATATGATGTCTTCTCTTCTGAATTACGGCGTCCATCTGTGCGTGTGCCCTGCAGGTGGGGACGAAGGGAGACGGAGAAGGAAGGGTCACAACAGTCCCAAGCTCAGGTCGCTTGCTGAAACAGTATGCCACCTGAAGCATTTCTTCTGGGGCCTTGCCTGGGTGCGTCTGACGCCGTGTGGCTTTGCATGGCATATGGCCGCCGTGTCAGTCACCTGTTGCCACATAACCAGTTACTAGAACCATAGCCATGCAGTCCCCTGCTTAGTGTCTGTGTGGACTGGGAAGTGGCTTAGCCGGGAGTGGGCGGGCGGGGGGGGGGACCCTTTGGTGTCCTCACAGAGGGAGCGAAGAAAAGCTGCCATGCCCCTGTGACCTAATGTCAGCTGTCACACTCATGTCACTTTTCCCCCTGGTTCTAGGTGTTATAAGCTGGTCACTTGGGTCACTTTGTCTTCCTACCCCCAGCTGGAAGGGAATTGGGCTATAGTTTTAGGGAGAGGAGTGTCAACGTCTAGTCATAATCAAAGCTCCTCTCATGTCCCAGTAAGGGACATATTTCAGATGCTGCTTCTGCAAAGTCAGGAAGGACGATGTCCTCTCTTTACCACATTTGCCATAATATGCGCCCACCGTGGCAATGACCGCCGAGCGCATGTGTTAATTCCCTTTCACCAAGTTAAAGCCCACACCCCTTTTCCCCAAAAGAACGCGTGTCTCAAAACCTCATTTTTTAAAAATGAAACTTCACGTCAGATAGTTCGGCCATCACTGGTTACAAACACAGAAATGACTCTGAAGTCTCCCCACCCCTCCGAAATATTTCTTTCTGGAATTCTAACACCTGGCATCAGGAGAAACTTCCATTTCAAGAATTTCCCGGTGCTTTCATCCAAACTGAGGGTTACTTCGCTGGGACCATCCCCCTGACCCCTCTGCCTGGCTCTTGACATGCTCACATGGGCCTCTGGGGGCCCCGACGGCCCGATGACTTTGACCCCCCATCTCCTGCTTCTCTGCCGGAGGCGCGGCTGACACGTGACCAGTGCTGGGACACGGTGGTCTACCACCACCTGACACTTGCTTCGATTTCCAGATTTTTCTCAGGCGAGTTGATGTTGCTTTCGTAAGTTTTTAAAAGGCTATTCTCATTTTTGAAAATTAATTCTGGCCTTGAGAAACATGTTGAGGTCACATTTCAAAGTAGAAACAAAACCAAACACCATATATATATTT